TTTTTTTTTACACCTACAGATGCATATACCAAAATCTTCAATAAAAATCGACCAAAGAAAGCAAAACCAAAGTCCTATAAGACATTCGCTTTGTGTTATTCAAGTCAACTTAACCACAAGGTGAAACAGAAGCGTCTCAGCAGAAGTTATGAACGTGTATAGTGCCCTACTCGAACTCGTGGAGAGGACTTGCTAACAAGCTAAATTTAATTTGTATGTAGGACTCATTCTAAGAAAGAATTATTCACTTTCATGCGAGAGTGAGTCTTTTCGCTTCTGAGTTAGGCCTCGTCCATCTTTCGGAAGGAGGCTGAGGAGTGGGAATTTAACTTGGATCACAAGAAGCTTTCCTATTGAACCTGCAGTGTTTTTTCCCCCTGAAATGGGACCGCTAATCGGAACTGTAAAAGTCCTTAAAGCCACAATCACAGAGTTATCATTTGCATTTCCAAAGATAACATACCTTTCAGTGGTCTGATGGCTTCAAACTTTGCACGAAATCCCTTGTTATTTGAGAGCTTGTTACTCACAAAACGCAGCCACATATCACTTCCGTTAACATAGATGGGAGACGGAGGGTCACTACCACAGAACTTCCCAAGAAGCATTCCTCCGGCAGTCGTTCCGGCACGGACTTCAAGGAAGTCGCAATCGCAAATTTTATTGCACGAATGTATGTGGAAGTCAGTTCGGTTAAACGACAACAGCACGTGATTACCACGCGGCACTGATATTATCCAGGAGCAGTCATGCTCAGCTTCATAATTATTTGGAAAATTTGGACTTTGTATCGTACCAGACTTGCCACTCAGTTTCCTGTTTGTTGGACAAGGTCCTGGGAAGAAGGGTCCATACATCGGTTATGAATAATGAACTGAGTTCAGATTTTTTCTATATCATCCTCCACCTACCTAAGGACTGTGTTCATTTTGTGTTTTGATAAACATGAATGAAAAAAATTTTCTTTAAGGAAAGATGTTTTTGTGTCTGGTCATGAGGAGGAACAAAGGAAATTAATTGAGTCTACACGAGGCATATAACCCGGGCCCCTAGCCTCAGACTTTCGGATTCCGTGCTCTGATGCTCAAACACCGAGCCACAGGGAACTCCATAGGGGTCTGATTCCCGATCAGCATTCAAAATTTATTTTTTATTCTCCTACACTCCAGACGCAAAACATCTATTTTTATTTCAATAATTTATGTACAAATTTACCATCATTCTTAATTTAGAAAGTTTTTTTTTGCTATATGTAAGCTATTCTAGTTTGTGTTAAATTATCATAACCGAGGTCAAGAAAGAGAGAAGTAGCCGATAACTGGTACTTTGGCTGTTTCGGACACTGAGTATGACAACCACATTCTCTTCCTTTCAAAAGCTTAAACTATTTTATGACTGGTAATTATGTAGCATTTAGTCCCGCAAAGATA